TTTACTAAATTTAAGCTAAAATTTGCCTAAATTTTTTATTGTTATCAGAAAAAAATTTGAGTTTTTAAAACTAAAATCGCAAATCGGCCTCCAAGGAAAGTGATTTGCAATGATCTGCAACTCAGGATTTTCTTAACATAAGGGCTCTCACAAATCCGCCGATATGTAAGTGATCTTGGACAAAGTTGATGAATTCTTGCCCAGCCGATGAATTCTGGTCCATACATACATATTAACAGTTTCCAAATTGCGCTGAAAATCAAAACCATATACAGTAGAATATATTGTTTCGACTGAAGTTTGGGGTTGTTTTATGATTGTCATGTTAAGCCCAATTCCACTACCAATTTGTTAATAGTTTCCGAGGTTTTCTAACTATGTTTAGGTAAAAATAATTTTCTAAATAATTTTAATTTTGATTCTCTTCAGATAAAAATGACAATTTTTTCTACCAAAAAAGAAAGCAGAAAATCGATCTAATTGCCATTACTATACAAAATTAATTACAACACTAAAGCTTGTTTTTTTCTGAAAAAACAATCCACTATGTGCAAAAATGTGTAGATTGTTTTTCGTAACCAGTGTAAAAATACACGCAATTACAGTTCTAAATATTAATAATGAGTATATTAGGTATATTTTTGATATTTGCACTTGATAGACTTAATAGAACTGATGCGCGCTCGAGTAAACAGCTTTTATATATACCAGATTCCTTAATTATACACCGGAATTTAATCATAGTGCTGGCAACATTGATCATAAAGATTGTTAACACATCTTTTATATTTATTTTTTAATTTCCATTTTTTGGCATTTGCGATAGAATTGATGAAATCCTTTGATAGCCAATTTAATTTTTTATGATCTTTAGCTGTTTATCAATGCTAGAATCCAGTTGTCCTGTCTCAAGATATCTGATTTCAATACTATCCTTTATCTTGACGATTACAGATAAATCAAGCCAACATGCTGTTTTAAAAGAGTCTTTCATTCAGCACTTGCTGTACTCGCTTTACCACCCCTATAAAATAAGAGCAATAATATAAAATGTTTATTATTTTTCAGGTTAAAATCATGCTAGATAAGAATTTGAATATACCAACCACTCAGCCCATATGTCACAATTAACAAGCAAATCGCATATCATAATATTAATAATGATGATAATATCTCGCATAATGTTTCTGGGCAATCTAGAATTTACCAAATGAGGTATCGCCAAAATCTTCAACTTTTTTTGCATTTTTTTTTCTCTTTTTTTTTTTGCGAATAAACTACTCAATAATATTTTATATTTTGAGAGCACTGAAAATGGTTCGATCTATTTTTTGAAAGTTTTATGAGCTCCTCAAATATACCATTTATAGGAAGCGAGCTATCATGGAGTATTCCAGAACAAAATGGATGGTCATATCCTAATTCGCCCACCTGTATAGTTTGTAACTCATACTCTATCTCTCGCCACATGGCCTTTTCGTTTTCATTACCTTTTAAACCGAGCTATATTCTAAATTAGTAAAATTATAATAGGCCTCAATAATAGGGTAAAATACTAACTTTATAAATATCACGTTTTAAAGTCTCAAAATTCTTAGATATAGCACCCTGGTAAATTTCGCGTTAAAATCGTCCAAAAAATATACAAAGCTAATACTGCAATTTGATTGGTTAATGCGATATGTACTTTTTAAGTTAGCTGGCTTACTAATCGAAAATGATACGCCATTACGCCACTGGAAACTCATATAGCACTGTATCCACTTATTATACAAACCTCTAAAAAAGGAAATGACCAATCAGAGAACACAAATTTCGGGTATTCCGGATCAGCCCGACATAGAATCCGAACACAAACAGGTAAGAACGTCCCAAATATGGAAAATAGTTACACAAATGTTGAATGATTGTCACATGCCAAACAGCCAA